AATCCACGCAACAAGCATCATCTCCCTCCAGACACTTGACAGTTTCGGATCGACACGTTTCCCCTAACAACGAGATCTTCTCTCCAGACAGCTGGAAAGTTTGGTCGAAGTTCCCGTAACCAACGATTTTCTACAAAAAAGCCCTACTCCAAACCGGCCGCTTTTAAAGGCTGTTCCGTTCGAGTTTCACACTGCCCCCATTTTCTGCACGTATGACATCGTTCCCCTCAGTAATTTACAGCGGTTCCTTACAACATACACTGCTAATTCCAAGCCCCCAAGTGATGAATAGTTTTATCTCTCCCAAAAAATAAAAACAATACACAAAATAAAAAATTTGTTATTTTAATAAATGTCCGCCTAGGTGGCGCTATATACCCTCCTACTGCAGTGTGTCGCTATTCCCCTTGGGCGGCCATACTTACGAATAAATTCCCATAATTCAGCACGTATGACATCGTTCCCCTCAGTACTTTACAGCGGTTCCTTACAACATACACTGCNCGGCGAGAGGGGAAACCCTCGCATCGGTGTGCCTGCAGAAGATGACCAAACTTCGATCATTAGAGGAAGTTAAAATTGTCGCTACAGGTCTTCGTAGGTGAACCTGCGGAAGGATCATTCACCCGAACGTCTCAGCAGCCTAGCGTTGGCTCTATGAGAAACGAGGCATCGAAAGCAAAATGAATGACGCGATGATGCATGAGCGAAAGCTCCGACTCAGGCGTTGCGATTTGCTAGGTTGCGCGGGATTCTCCGCTTAGTCGTTCGGCGGCGGAGCGATTGTGTGTGCGCCGTAGCAAGCCGCCGGTCGTTTTTCGCGACGGGAGTGCTCCGTCTAGCTTCCTCGACGTCAATACGCTTCGATGTTGTGGGCGTACCTGTCGTCCTCGGCCGGCGTACTGCCGACGTCGCATTCTCGGCACCAATGTTTGCGTTGCGGCGCGTCACGTAGTCCGAGCGGGTGGCTCGGCGCGCGTGCGCTCGCGAACGGTGCGCGCGACATTCCGAATGATCGGCCGTCGTGTCGTGGACGAAAAGCCACACGCCGATTGCCTGGCCGTAGCAAACCCGGCAGGCATTGCGAACTGCAAGGTTCAAAGAGACGCGTTACATACAGTAATTGATGTGCGTAGAAAATGTTTTGCGTGAGCTTGCGTAAGGTTGCATTTGATGCATGCATCATTATCGGTCGCCACGCTGCCGGCGACTTGTTCTCTCCTCCTACCTCGTATCTCGAGAAAGGGAGAGGCTGCGTCCGCCCACGGTTTCGTTGTTGTCTAAACATGTTCTAAACAACCTTCTTAGGACTCGCAGGTATGGTGCCTCGTTCGTCGACATCCGGAGCGACCGATCGGCCGGCTCCGGACCGTGTCACCGCTAGGTGCGCTTGAGCCACCAAAACTTTACTCAACTCTGAAGCGGTTGGATTCACTCGCCCCGTGCTGCGATGTAAGAACGCATCCAGAATTCGTTATTTAATCGTGCTAATTGCAGGCGACCATTGAACATGACATTCGAACGCCACATTGCGGCACCGCGCGTATTTCCCGAGTGCTTTACACGTACGTCTGAAGCCGTCGGCTTACAATCATCGCGCACTACTTCCGCGTTCCGCCGCGCCGCGCCTTGGACGCTTTGCAGTCATTCATTTGCTGCCATCCGCCAGGCAGCGTCGACTTCATCGCTCTATAAATTGAGATCGCTCGACCGCGGCTCAACTCTCAATGATCGTTTCGAGACGTCGAAGACGTCGGTTCGGCGAACAAGCGGTTGCCGCTTGGCGTCGTCGTAGCCACTCGATCACGTATGCGAGTCCCGTACCCGTCTACGCACGTGCGCATCTCGAAAGCGGGTCGCATCCGTTAGCCGACGTTGCAATCTCGGATTCGATTCAGTCTTTGATTAGAGGAGTTTGCGTCACGGCAGCAAATTTGCTGGTGAAGGCGCACCGTGCGTTTTGCTCTGTGCGTGCGTCGTGTGCACCGCACAGCGTCGGCCAGCGCAGGATGGCCGCCTCGCTGTTATCGTGGCTCTGCGAAGCAATTCTCTGGACTTCGCTGCTGGCACACGTCCGTCGCCGAGCGGCTGCTGGCGTGCTGTTGCCTGCCGCTGCCTGCTCGTGTGTTGCCCACGTCTGTCGACCGCCGGCGTCGCCACCGTGTTCTTCACCAAAAAAAACGATCATAACGACTCCCCCCGCCCCCCACTCAGATCGCGGCGTGACTACCGCTGAATTTTAAGCATTTACTAAGCGGACGGAAAAGAAACTAACAAGCGATTCCCTACGTAACGGCGAGTGAACGGTCGCGAAGCAGCCAGACCGAATCGCGTCGACGTTTCGCCGGCGTGAAGCTGTGGTGGTTTTAGGGAGGAGCATTTCGGTGTCGACGTTCGCAGTTGCTCCGTACTCCTCCACCGGGGCCCTTTTTCCTTACGAAGGCGTCAAGGCCCGTATTGCCCATCGTTTCGTCATCGTGATTTCGCACTCCTTTGAGTCGGGTGTTTGGGATTGCAGCCCAAAGGTGGGGTGGTAAACTCATACTAAGGCTAAATACTGACACGGGACCGATAGCAAACAAGTACCGTGAGGGAAAGTTGAAAAGAACTTGAAGAGAGAGTTCAGAGTACGTGAAACCGCTCAGAGGCAAACGGGTGAGAGCCAGCCAAACGTGGTCGTCTCGAATTCAACCGTGCCTCTCAGATGTCGCAACGCGGCTGAGCTTTCTCGAGGGATCCGCAAGGAGCCCGCGCTTCCGCGACGATTAGCTGCTGCGTAGTGCATTTCGGAGACGGCGCTGATACCACACGCGTGGCGTCGCGAAGAGTATCGAAACTGTCGAGCACGGTTAACCGCGCCGCTTCGATGCTCACCGCGCGTTAAGCTCTGCCAGCTCGGCTGCTTCGACGCAACGAAGGCATGCCTATTCGCGCCATCCCGTCGGGCTTGCCGCCGGTCCGTCTCGCCTTTTCTCCGAACGTCAGAACTGCGGTGCAGTGCCTTCTTGGAACCGCGAAGAGCCAGCTGGGCGGGCCGTCGCTCGCAAGTCTGGCGCTCAAGAGTTGTGGTGTTTATGTCGGGCAACCACCCGACCCGTCTTGAAAACACGGACCAATTGGAGTCTAACATGTGCTTCTGCAAGTCATTGGGGTATCGAACACTCAAAGGCGCAATGGAAAGGTGCGCAAGGTCGACTTTCCGGTCGGTCCTTTAGGCGAGATCCCGAGCATACGATGTCGGGCGCACTGCCGGCCCATCTCCTCTTCCCTATTTGGTCCGCCACGTTGGGTGAGGGGAGCACTAGAGCATGCATGATTGGCGACCCGCGAAAGATGGTGAACTATGCCTGAGTAGGTTGAAGCCAGAGGAAACTCTGGTGGAAGGCCGTAGCGATTCTGACGTGCAAATCGATCGTCGAACTTGGGTATAGGGGCGAAAGACTAATCGAACCATCTAGTAGCTGGTTCCCTCCGAAGTTTCCCTCAGGATAGCTGGCGCTCATCATGCAGTTTTATCCGGTAAAGCGAATGATTAGAGGCATTGGGGTCAAAACGACTTCAACCTATTCTCAAACTTTAAATGGGTAAGAAGCCTGACTCGCTCGATTGGAGCCAGGCCACGAATGCGAGTGCCCAGTGGGCCACTTTTGGTAAGCAGAACTGGTGCTGTGGGATGAACCAAACGCCGGGTTAAGGCGCCCGATGGTGACGCTCATCAGACCCCAGAAAAGGTGTTGGTTGATATAGACAGCAGGACGGTGGCCATGGAAGTCGGAATCCGCTAAGGAGTGTGTAACAACTCACCTGCCGAATCAACCAGCCCTGAAAATGGATGGCGCTGGAGCGTCGAGCCCATACCCGGCCGCCCGGGCAGAGTAGCCGACCAGCCGAAATGCCCTTTGAGCAGAGTAGGAGGGTCGCAGCGGTGCGCGTTGAAGGAGTCGGGCGCGAGCCCGCCCGGAGCCGCCGCTGGCGCAGATCTTCGGTTGCGTAGTCAGAAATATTCAAATGGTGTCAGGCACTTTGAAGACTGAGTGGAGAGGGGCTTCCATGTTGAACAAGCAGTTGGCACATGGTCAGTCGATTCTAAGAGATAGGCGCGACACGCCATTCCGAAGCGGGGCAATCTGTTTTGCCCGCCGGTCGACTCGAGACGGGAAATCGAGTGTTATATTCCCGAACCCGGACACGGAGATCGCCCTCGGGGTCAGCTGCGGTTAACGCCAAAACGAACTCCGGAGACGTCGGCGGCGTAGTTCCCGTCGGAGAGTTTGTCTTTTCTTTGTAAGGTCGGGCGCCACTCCTGGAATCGGTTGTTGCCCGGAGATATGGGAGATGTTGTCTTCCCGTAAGCACCGCGGCTCTTTGCGGGTCCGGTTCACCCTGCCCGGTCGACTCCTTGAAATCGAGGGAAGGACAGTGTGATTTTTCGTGCCGGATCGTACCCATATCCGGCAGCAGCGTCGTCCAAGCGTGAACAGCCTAGTCAGATCTAGAAACAATGTACGGTAAGCGAAGTCGGCAAGTCAGATCCGTAACTTCGGGGAAACAGGATTGGCCTCTAAGTGGCCTGGGCCGGTCGGGCTGTGGTAGGCAAGCGGGTCTGGAACCAGCACCGGGACATGGGCAGACCGCACGGGTCGATGCTCCGACCGACGGAAACCCTTCCCGTGGATTGATTCAGACTGTTGCAACCGCTCGTGCGGTTGCTTCGGCGTCCGGCATCCAAACAGCCGACTTAGAACTCGGTACGGCCAGGGGAATGCCGACTGGTCTAATTAAAAACAAAGCATTTGGGGAATGGCGTTGGTCGGTGCTTGACGCAATGTGATTTCTTGCCCAGCTGCTCTGAATTGTCAAAGTGAAGAAATTTCAACCAGCTGCGGGGGTAAACCGGACGGGAGTCAACCTATGACTACTCTTAAGGGGCGTTAAAGCGAGCTATTAATTCGGACAACTCTCCTGAGGATAGTCGAGGCATGGGGCCTAAGAGACCGTACCCATAGACGCATTGAGAGCGTCCCACCCTTCGACAACTACGTAAGAGCAAACCTTGATGCGCGAAGTTACCACACGAAGATTCTTGCCCTCCCAACAGCAATGCAATGAGACAAAGAGGCCAGGAAGAATCAAACGCAAACAATACGGGCACGGTTCAGAGGCTCTTTAAGTCGAAAAGAAAGCCTCTCCTCGCACGAGATAATTGACGGTGCGGAACGAATGCGCAGCAGATACTCATCCCGCAGAGGAAAGCATCCGGAACACCTATGCCAATCTATTTCAAACACAATCGCCGTGCGATCCAGAACCCTACACAACCAATAATAGTTTTACTATTATGCAGTATGTTGCCAAGGATGAGTTGAGAGAGAACCTGAAAAAGCTGAAAAAGGACGGCGCTCCCGGCCCTGACGGTTTTACGGTCACAGAACTGCTATCGATGCCAAGTGACGTCCTCTTGCTAGTATGTAACTTTGTGCTGCTAGTTCGAGAATTACCGGCCACTTGGAAACAGTGTCGTACAGTTTTAATACCTAAGACCAAAGGGGGGTTGGATGATGCATCCAACTGGCGTCCGATCACCCTTTCTTCAGTCTTCGTCAGACTAGTCAATCGCATCTTAACTCAAAGGCTAGCAATAGCCACATCCTTAAACCCAAGACAACGTGCGTTTATTCCGGCAGATGGTTGTCATGAAAACGTACAGCTGCTCGACTACTTGGTCAAACGAGCACGCCAGGAGCCTAGTAACCTTCAGGTGGTGCTTGTCGACCTCGCTAAAGCCTTTGACACGGTGTCCCATCATAGCATCCTGCGTGCTGTTAAGCGCCATGGTGCAGATGGTGATTCTGTGGAGTATCTTAGTAATCTCTACACCGGGTCCACAACCTCGATCACATGTGGACCAGTTCTCGTAAACGGCGTTGAGATGAACAGAGGAGTAAAGCAAGGCGACCCCCTTTCGCCTTGTCTCTTCAACTTAGTTGTTGATGAGCTGTTTTCCGTGCTCCCCAACCATGTCGGGGTGGAAGTCGGGTGTCAAAGGCTTAACGCAATGGCGTTTGCCGACGACTTGGTCCTCGTGAGTGAGTCGGTAACGGGGATGAACGCACTATTGGCAACGACGGAGGAATTCTTTGCAAAAAGAGGCCTTAGCATCAATGCCAAGAAATGCGCGTCCCTCCGTATCTTCCACTGCGGAAAGCGGAAGACTTTCAAGATCAATACGGACCGTACTTGGTGTGTAGGAAACACACCTATACGAGCGTTGACCTATGGTACATTCGTTAAGTACTTGGGTGTTGCATTCGATCCAGGGGGGAAGATGGCGAGTAATATCGATCAGTTAGAGGATTGGCTTCTCAAGCTTCGAAAAGCCCCACTGAAGCCACAACAGAAAATACATCTACTAATATACAATCTGGTGCCACGCTTAAGCCACGAACTAGTACTGGGAAGAGTCACCAAGGGCCTTCTCACCGAGATGGACCGGCGGATCCGGGCATTGATCAAACAGGTGTGTCGGTTGCCTCACGACACAGTGGATGCTTTCTTCTATACCAGCCAACACGACGGAGGGATGGGCGTACCCTCACTAAGCAATGTCATTCCAGCTCAGATTGTACGTCGTGTGAAGAATATGCGCCACTCGAGCGACCCTGTGATCAGAGACCTATACGAGACGTCGAGAATCCAATCTCTATTATCCAAGGCGAGAGCAATGCTTGGATTGTCGGATGGACAGGTTCCGACAAAGGCTGAAGAACGGACAGCCTGGGCTAAGCGGTGGAGCACTACAGTAGATGGAAAGGGATCGGAAGACTTTTCCGGACCCGGAAATGGCTGGATAAGAGGAACAAGCCAACTGGTGAGTGGTGGAATCTTTTGTGAGATGATAAAACTACGGAGCAACACTCTAATCACGCGCTCCAGGTCATACCGAGGTAGACCAGGCAACACGTCCTGCCGGTTTTGTCCTGCACAAAGGGAAACCCTTAAGCACCTGCTGCAGTGCTGTCCGAAAGGGTTCCATCACAGGGTGAGACGCCATAACGTCGTGGTTGAACACCTAGCCAGGGCAGCAAGTGCGCTGAAGTGGGGAGTAATAGAAGAGCCGCACATACTAACCGCGGCCGGTCTACGAAAACCTGATATCGTCCTCCATAATGATAAAAAGGTCGTAGTCGTTGATGTAGCTATTCCTTGGGAGGGCAATGGTACGCCTGGCGCCAGACACGCGGAAAAGATATCATACTATGGCAGTAATGCAGATTTGAGGAAATATCTGGAGGAGAAGTTCCCTGGCAAGGAACTTGTGTTTGAAGCCTTAGTGATATCGGCTCGTGGAGGATGGTGCCGGCGCAATAATCGCCTGATGAAGCTGATTGGGTTGTCTTCTGGTTGGCGTGATCTCGCTGTCATAAAAACTATGGAGCACTCTATCAAGATATACCGCAAGACAGTGAATGACACCCACACAACACTGTAACTTCCTGTCCCTGATACCCGAAATAGGGTGTCCTACCCTATCGACACATGCAGAAATCTAATTCCGCCCCACGCTCGAGATTTCGAAAGTGAAGAAATTCGCAAAGGGCAATTCCAGACGATGCGATTCGTGCATACTGCCAGAACTGTTTGGAACATCGGATAACGGATTGGTGCATGACGCGTGCCTCCACACGTAAAAACGGATAATGACGACAAAAAATAGCCAAATGCCTCGTCATCTAATTAGTGACGCGCATGAATGGATTAACGAGATTCCCACTGTCCCTATCTACTATCTAGCGAAACCACAGCCAAGGGAACGGGCTTGGCGAAATTAGCGGGGAAAGAAGACCCTGTTGAGCTTGACTCTAGTCCGACTCTGTGAAGAGACATGAGAGGTGTAGAATAGGTGGGAGGCTTCGGCCGCCGGTGAAATACCACTACTTTCATCGTGTCTTTACTTATTCGATGAAGCGGAAAGCGAGCCTCGCGGCTCTTTATTCTCGAATTAAACCGTCGGTGTAGTGCCGACGGCAATCCGCCTCGAAGACAGTGTCAGGCAGGGAGTTTGACTGGGGCGGTACATCTGTCAAAGGGTAACGCAGGTGTCCTAAGGCGAGCTCAGCGAGGACAGAAACCTCGCGTAGAGCAAAAGGGCAAAAGCTCGCTTGATTTTGATTTTCAGCTACGAATACAGACGTGAAAGCGTGGCCTATCGATCTTTTGACTTTAGGAGTTTTAAGAAGAGGTGTCAGAAAGTTACCACAGGGATAATGCGCTGTGTGGCCAGCCAGCTGTTCATAGCGACGTGCATTTTTGATCTTCGATGTCGGCTCTTCTTAATTGTGAAGCCAGAACTTCACAGCGTTGCGATGTTCACGCACTATAGCGGAACGTTGAGCTGGGTTTAGACACGTGTCTGAGACAGGTAGTTTTTACCTACTGATGACATGTTGTTGCCAATAGTAATCTCTGCCCTCAGTACGAGAGGCAACGCAGTTCAGACATTTGGCTACATGTGCTTGATCGAAAAGTCAGTGGTGCGAAGCTACCATCTGGGGGATTACTGACTGACACGGCCTCTGAAGTCAGAATCCCGCTAGAAATGTGACCGATACCGTTATGCTGCCACTGGCCTTGCGGAGGCAGTAATATGCGGAGATGCGCTCTTCGGTGGAAAAGCCCACGTACACGGACGTTGCTGTCGGCGCAAGACACGCGTGCGCAGCAGTCACAGGGAAAAGCGATACGATATCCAACCCATGCAAGGTATTGGTGCAATTCCTATCGTAGACGACCTTAGGTGCATCGTGCTGGTGTCGTATTAGTAGAGCAGCCACCACACTGCGAATCTATTGAGACTAAGCCTTTCACTTGGAAGATTTGTCTGCGCGAGGCAGCGCGAGTCCCCCAGATTGGCAGTGGTGGGGTGGCGGCGGCGAGACCCGAACGAACCAGAAGGAGAACGATAACGCTAGAGAAAAGAGATGAGACGGAAACCACGTGGTCGTGATGCGGTGACGCGGTGTGGCGAGACGAGAGCCAGCAGTTACTGAGAGACGAGCAAGTAGAATATCTAGAATTGACGAACTCGGAGAGTGGTCGTGAAGCAGAGATCAGTCGAGAACAGGCGAAATAATCGATAAGCAGAACAGAGGAGCCAGCAGCAGCGATGATATTCCAAGCGGCTATATCAGTAACCAACGAACGATTCATCTCCTCCAGAAACTTGGGACAGTTTCGGTCGAATCTCCGCTAACCAACGAGATTTCTCCTCCAGACACTTGGAAAAGTGGGTCGAGTTCCACGTAACCAACGATTTTTCTACAAACACAAGCCCTACTCCAAACCAATGGTGCTTTTACAAGGCTGTTCGCTTCGGAGTTCACACTGCCCCCCATTTTCTGACGTATGACATCGTTCCCTCAGTAATTACAGCGGCTTCCTTACAACATACACATGCTAATTTCCAAGCCCCAAGTGATGAATAGTTTTATCTTCTCCCAAAATAAAAACAATACACAAAATAAAAATTGTTTTTTAATAAATGTCCGGCTAGGTGCGCTATTACCCTCCTAACTGCAGTGTGAGGTATCACCATTGGAAATGAATTATGCCATCAGGCGGCCATACTTACGAATAAATTCCCATAATTCAGCAGAAGGTTTTTTTTTACAACATAACAATTGCCAGTCCTCTTTAATCAAGTCGCCAAGTTACCACCAATATTGTTATTACAAAAAAATTAAAAAGAAATTAACCAACAATTTTCATCGTTCCCCTCAGTACTTTACAGCGGCTTCCTTACACATTACATGCTAATTGCAAGCCCCAAGTGATGAATAGTTTATCTCTCCCAAAAAATGAAAACAATACACAAATAAAAAAATTGTTATTTAATAAATTCGCCAGGTGGCGCTATATACGCCTCCTACTGCAGTGTGATATCATAAGATTGGACAGCGCTATGCTTGCCATACAGTTTCGATGTCCCCACTGCGCCGACACCAGCGCCGACCAACGGCGAGTTAGGGTCCGCAGCTTACCAGCTGACTGCTAACAACAGTAGATATATGCAGACGACACGCGAAAGGTGCATCGAGTTAAAAACAAAACATGTTTTATTATACAATCGATAGTTTCAATTTACATTTTATCTGATAAGCTCATTGCTTCATAGGTAGGTTGCACGAAATCTGACATGCAGTGTTGAACTATTAACCATACTAGACGAGGGAAATAAATACATTTTTAAGCAGGGTCCGGTACGTTCGTGTGCGCATCAGCCATAGTCGCAGCGGCAGTGTACCGGTCATATAAACACGTCAGTGTAACGCGTTCATATAAATATAATTAGCACCTCAGTAACCCCGTGTAGATATTCTGTGCATGTAGAAAGTATAGTTCAATATTTGTGCACCTGACTATAATGCAAGGTTATATTGAAGTACTGTAATGAAATATAACAAATTGAGTATACGATCAGCATTACAGATTCGGATTTAATTTAAAAGGTTTGCAATTTATATAGCGAGGGAGGAATGAGTGTTTCGTTGTGGGTGATGAAACAAGGCAAAAAACATACTGACAGCGACGATTGGTCTCATTCGAAGTATTATTCACATAATAAATTACTATATATTGGTACTATTTTATCATATTTAACCTATAGCAATTACCATATCTCGTAACACACGCCCTACAGAAATGATAACAACGGGAATCTTGTATCCCCCATGCACCGGATGGCGTGTAAGGCTTCAAACAACAACAACAATTATTTTGCCATTACACGGGTGAAGCAATTGCGGTTCTTTCTCTTACTAACTGTTACAAACATACATTTTTTCACGCGAGAACCGTGATGGAGGCGGATATTTACAACAGCTTGTTATAATTCTATGGGCTTTGCATACATTTATTGGATCACGGCCTTATGACATGTAATGTCTGTAATAAGGTGAGGGATTGAGAATGGCTGCGCACCTTACTCATGTGCATAGGCCTAACCTTTGGAATTTACGTTCTCTAAACTCTAATTCCAGTTAAAGTGCAAGCATGAAAACACTTCCTGGCTGGGGAGAGAAAAGTTCCTTCCTGCGCTGTGTCCCCATTAGTTCTTTCTGAACCATTAAAATATTGGCATGTATCATGTTCACTGATGTTTCCGCGCAAAAATGATTGGAATTGCATTACTTGGCTCAGCAATTTCCGTGCGTGACCTACTCACCGGTTGTCGGCGTAGTGTCCCGCGCGATGACCCAACATATAGGTCAAGTGTCCCATCTTATTACATTGAAATGATTATCCATAGTGCGGGCCATACTACGATATAAATTCCCATAACTTCAGCGAAGTTTTTTTTAAAATAAAACATGCCATCCTCTTAATCCAAGTCGCAAGTTACACCATATATGTTATTAACAAAAAAATTAAAAAGAAAATTAACCAACAATTTCCCGGCACACACTCGAAATGGCCAATTTGCAATGTGAATTTGCACAAAAAGTAGACTTTCTTTCAAAATTCCCCGGCCGCGATCAGCAACGCACCTCGCCGACGAAGCCGTTTACACTGTCGATTTCAGAGAAAGAATTCTAGTTTCTGAAATTAACAATTGCAAAGAATTCATAACCCTTTCTAATAAGAAATACAAAATTCCAGCGTACGCATACACTCAAATACGATCTCATTCCTAACCTATCCCAGCGCTCATTCGTTGATTTTCCCACCGTCGTGCCTGGAGGGAGGTCACGTGATAACGTCACATGACGTCGCCTACGTCGCAGCAATGCGTGGCAGCCTAGTGAGTGGTGATGTTCATGCGTTATGTTAGTCATGTTCATGAGCGTAGAGGTAAAACAGGTACCGAGGTGATAGATTGTAACTAAACTAGGTCTTTGAATTGAGTAATTCCAATTGTTGTGATGGGTATGCAGCCCGTCTCTCCTAGACCCGATTTCACTAACGGTAACGCCACCTACAAATGCCACATCGGTACGAAACCACTGCGGTTCGTGCAGTTTCGAAGTGATTTTCGTATCTTTTGCATTACAGTCCTCATGCTACTAGGAGGAGCTAGGAGGAGCGACTTCCCTGTATATATGCTTCACTCTTGCCAGCCAAGTGAAGCATCGAACGATGTCAGAATATACCGGGTTTTTGATTCGTGGAATTGACGGTTGAGACTACTAGACGACAGACGTCTAAGCTAGTAACTGGCCCTGGGGCAAGCCAGAAGAGTCTTAAACGGGTCGGTATCGGTACGACACGTGGGAACGGGGCTTCGTTAACGAGGGTTCTAGAGTGCAGGCAGCCGTACGTTGGACGTCGTTCTCGTCAGCGATTCCTTTCGTTTCGGTTCAAATTTTAGTCGTGACTGCGTTGGACGTGCTGCCGATCGGTAGCGACATTCGTCCGAAAACGGTGTCGAAGCCTAATTGAGCGGAGCAGTTTATGCCGAGCCATAGGAACGATAGTTGATCGTGTGATCTCTTTTTGGAAAGCTGTCACGGTGCGCCGTCGAGTGCTGCAAGTCTGCAGAGGGGCCAAGTTGATTTATCCTCTACGTCGAGACGCACGCTTGGAGGCTCCTGCCGTATCCGCCGCCGATTCAATGTGAAGAACGCCTGTCGGTGCTGCCCGGTCGACTACGTCCGAGTGTACACTGTGGTAGTGTTTCGTCGAACGATCGGTAGACAACGGTGCGTCGGTCGTTTGCTTCTTCGAAATCAATCGTGGTTGCGCCGTACCTGAGTTTGATGCCTGCCAGCTAGTCATATGGCTTGCTCTCAAAGAGTTAAGCCATGCATGATCTAAGTACAGTACGGATACCAAAGCTGAAACGCGATGGCTTCATTAAGATCAGTTATGGTTCCTTAGATTTACTATCTACTTGGATAACTGTGATAATTTAGAGCTAATTACATGCATCAAGCTCCGGACCTTTATCGGGAACGAGCGATTTTATTAGACCAAACCAATTCGCGGTTTACGGCCGTTTCTTTTGGTGACTCTTTAACCTTGCGCTGATCGCACGCGTCTTCGCCACCGGCGACGTATCTTTCACATGTCTGCTTATCAACTTTCGGATGGCTAGATACTGTGCCTACCATGGTTTGTCGTAACGGGAACGGGGGAATCAGGGTTCGATCCGGAGAGGGAGCATTGAGAAACGGCTACCACATCCAATGGAAGGCAGCAGCACGCAAATTACCCATTCCCGCACGCGGCGATGTAGTGACGATAAATAACAAATACGGGACTCTTCGAGGACCCGTGAATTGGAATGAGTACACTTTAAACTCCTTTAACGAGGATCTAGCTGGAGGGCAAGTCTTGGTGCCTAGCAGCCGCGCGTAATATTCCAGCTTCAATGCGTATATTAAGTGTGTTGCCAGTTAAAGCGTCGTAGTGGATCTGGGTATAGGCTGGCTGTCCATCAGCGATGCTTACGCCTGTCCTGGCCTTTTACTCCCGGTCTATCTTTGTTGACTTTGGACTGAGCCTGACTCGGTTGGCGGACGTTTACTTTGAAAAATTAGAGTTTCAAAGACAGGCTTTTTGCCCTGAATAATGGTGCATGAATAATGAAAGGACNTCGAATAACTTGCGCTGATCGCACGGTCTCGCCCACCGGCGACGTATACTTTTCAAATGTCTGCCTTAGCAAACTTTCGCATGGCGTAGATTTATGTGCCACCATGGTCGTAACGGTTAACGGGGAATCAGGTGTCGATTCACGAGAGGGAGCATGAGAAAACGGCGTACCACATGCCAAGGAATGCAGCAGGCCACGGCGAAACTTACCCATTCCCGGCACGGGGAGCGTATGACCGATAAATAACAATACGGCGGACTCTTTCGAGGACCCCGTAATTCGGAATGAGTACACTTTAATCCTTTAACGGATCTATTGGCAGGGCAAAGTCTGCGGTTGCAGCAGCGCGCGCGAATTCCAGCTTCAATAGACCGTATATGAAAGTGTTGCACGTTAAAAAGCTCGTATTTGGATCTGGGCTTAGGGCTGGTGGCCATCTAGCGATGGATACTGCCTGTCCCTGGCCTTTACCTCCCGGTCTATCTTTGTTGCTCTGGACTGAGTGACTCGGGTTGCACGCGAACGTTTACTTTAAAAAAATTAGACGCTGTCAATAGCGAGCTTTTGCCTGAATAATGCGTGCATGAATAATGGAATAGGACCTTCGCGCTTCTATTTTGTTGCGTTTCGAAACAGAGAAATGATAAGCGAGCGAACAGACGCGGGGCATTCGTACTGCGCCCCTGCTTAAGAGTGAAATTCTTGGATCGTAGACCAAGACGAACAAAACAGCCGAAAGCATTGTGCCAAGAATCTTTCATTAATCAAGAACGAAACGTCAGAGGTTCGAAGGTGATCAGATACCGCCCTAGTTCTGACCATACAACGATATTTCCACACTAGCGATCCGCCGCGAGTTACTACAATGACTTGGCCGGGCAGCTACCGGAAACCAAAGCTTTGGGCTTCGCGGGAATTGGTTGCCAAAGCGAAACTTAAGGAATTGACGGAAGGGCCACCACCAGAGTAGGGAGCCTGCGGACTTAATTTGAAACTCAACACGGGAAATCCACCCGGCTCCGCACACTGTAAGGATTGACAGATTGCAGAGCTCTTTCTTGATTTCGATCGTGGTGTGGTGCATGCGCCGCGTTCTTAGTTGGTGAGCGATTGGGTCTGGTTATTCCGAATAACGAACCGAGACTCTGGCCTACTAAATAGTAGCCGATTCCGTCGGTCGGCCTGGCCACTTCTTAGAGCGGACAAGGGGGCTAGCCGCACGAGATTGAGCAATAACAGGTCTTGTGATGCCCTTAGATGTCGGGGCTGCACGCGCGCTACACTGAAGGAATCAGCGCCGTGCATTTTGCCTTGTCTGGAGACCTGATAACCCGATGAACCTCCTTCGTGCAGGGATAGCGGAATTGCAGATTATTTCCCTTGAACGAGGAATTCCCAGTTAAGGCGCGAGTCATAAGCTCGTGTTGATCACGTCCCTGCCCTTGTACAACACCGCCCCGGCCGCTACTACGATTGAAATCCATTTAGTGTAGGTCTTCGGACCGTCCCGGCGAGAGGGCACACCCTCGCATCGGGTGTGCTGGGAAGATGAACCAAACTTATCATTTAGAGGAAGTAAAAGGTTCGCTAACAAGCGCTTTCCGGAGGTGAACCGCGGAAGGATCATTACCGAACGTCAGCAGGCACGGTTGCGCTCTATGAGAAACGAGATCGAAACAAAATGGATGTGATATGAGAGAGCGAAAGTCCGACTCGACGTTGCGATGCCTAGGTTGCGGGCGGGTTCTCCGTTAGTCGTTCGGCGGCGGAGCGATTGTGTGTGGCGTAGCAAGCCGCCGGTCGTTTTCCGCGACGGGAAGTGCTCCGTCTAGCTTCCCTCGGTCAAACGCTTCGATGTTGTGGGGTACCTGTCGTCCTCGGCCGGCGTACTGCCGACGTCGCATTCTCGGCACCAATGTTTGCGTTGCGGCGCGTCACGTAGTCCGAGCGGGTAATACATGCAATAGTAATCTCACCGATGGAAAGTAATCTTTGCTGCTTTTGACTCCTTACGTCTAACAACGTCACAGTTGCATGCACTACAATACAGTCGCATGATATATCGATGGATGCAATATGGATGGATATCGATGAAAGGTCGCAACCTATATGCCCATCGCAATATGCACAAATCCACTCAGTTCTGCTAGAGTCCATAGTAACTATGACGTCATAATCGGAAACATGAGAACATCACATTGGTCTCCCAAGATGGATACGGCAAGTTTAACCGCAAGTCACGATTCCAGGGGTTACAGCTAGACTGGTACCCACCTTGACTCCACCAAGTATCCTTGGCTACAATGAACTCAGTTAGTGTAGCGTGTCGAACTGTCGTGCGGGTGCCAGTCTAGCTTAGCAGCCGAAGCCGTGTCCAGAAAAACTACAGGCAAATGCAATGAACATAGGCTCGTTGCGCCATCTATCGCACGCCATATGTTCTAAAATATTGTCAGGGCATGAACCAGCAAAAATGGTAAATCGGTTTTCTACAGAAAAACAACGCGCGCTGAGCAGCAAACCAACAATTACGACCATTTGTAGGAAATGTCTACCTACGTGCGTAGTGAAAAGGCTAGCGGAATCGCCACAACTGCTCAATTGAACGATTATACGACTTTGGTCTCTACCCAAAGGGACCTGAGTAAGGTGTTCCAAACAGTGCAGCGAATTTGAGTTAGTGTGCCGCTATGCTGCGTTTTTCGCGCTTTGCGCGGATCCGGGCTGCCAATCGTCTAGTAGCGTCTTCTGATCATGCGATGGCGTTATTTGTACACTGCCTATGGTGCTGCCACCTTGGTGCGGTATTTATTAGAGCCCCTAGTATTGACACGCAGTCACTCGCTCGCACCCCCTCTATCTCTCTCATTCTCTATATCTCTGTCTCTGTCTCTGTCTCTGTCTCTGTCTCTGTCGCTGTCTCTGTCTCTGTCTATGTTGGTGTCTCTCGCCCCCCCTCTCTCTCTCTGTCTGCCTCTATCTCTGTCTGTGCCTCTGTCTCTCTCTCTCTCTCTCTCTCTCTCTCTCTCTCTCTCTCTCGCGCGCGCTTTCTCCGTGTCACTATACTCATCTCTATTTCCGTCTCTACCTCTATATTTATTTGTCTGTTTCTCTGTCGGCGTGTGTCTCTCTTTCTCTTTCGCGCTCTTTTTCTCTCTCTCTCTCTCTCTCTCTCTCTGTCTGTATCTCTATCTCTATCTCTATCTCTCTCTCGCTCTTTCTCTCTCTCTCAAGCTCTCTCTCTGTATCTATCTATATCTCTATCTCTATCTCTCTCCCTCTCGCTTTCGCTCTTTCTCTCTCTCTATCTCTATCTCTATCTATATCTCTATATCTGCCTCGAAGCTGCCTGGATGCGAATCTGTAACTATTGCTGATTATAGTTATTAGGCTATTATTTGCCAAGAAACCACTGGCATACTTATGTCTTTATCTTTGTATCAGATCATGGCTTCATGGTGCTGACTGGGTTACGTTATATTTGCGATGTTATAATCATTACATGATATGATTTATATGGCCGGACGCATAGCCACGGCCA